CAAATTTCTCACCTGCAGAAGGAATAAATAACTGGTGGCCTATCCAACAGGTAAACCTATGTGCCATCAGATCTGCAATATTTTCTGTGTTACCGAGGGTGTGGACATGGCCTAAGGGGGAACCACTGACAGCTAACTCCCTGCCTGTTTATGACTCCACTCTCCCCATCCCAACACCGCATCTATCTTTTGTCCCTGGGCTACTGTTCCATCCTGGCAGACCAGAGATGGTGCTGTACCCACAGCAGCCCTGGCTCCCTCTATGGCACTGCCAAGTATTAATTGGCTGGCAGCTGTAGTTGGGCAGGACGTCATGTTCCTGGCTCCTCAATTAGGAGGAATATCCTCCAGCATCCCTGATCAGATGAAGATCTGGCATACCTTCTGTCCATGAGTTAGTGTGGGTGTCTCACAATGCTTTTGCAGGCAGCGTACAAGACACCCAGTTTACAAAGGTCCACCCAAGGACATGAGTACAACTATCTCAGGTGGTAATCCAGTGTAGTACTGAGGGAGTTCTCCCGTATATCCTGAACAATACAGATCCTAAATGAATTTTTGCAGGAGCATACTGTCTGCAAAATTATCTGTTGTCCTGCGTTATAACTCTTCAAGAGTATTTAATTAATTGTAAAGCAGGTTGGGATGTTCGGTAGTAATGAAGACTGCTATATCTGTGCCAATTTCTGTCTCTAAGCTCTAGAACTTCCTCCATAAAACCCTTCACCACCATCTCCTCCTTCAAGAGGTGCTTAGAACCTATTCCCATGGTCATCTGACCTAAAATCTCCTTAAATGGCTCAATGCCAAATTTTGATTGCTAATATTGCTAAAAAGTGACTAAGGATATTTTACTACCCACAAGGCCCTACAAGTCATTGTTAAACAACAGCAGCAAATCATATCTCAGAAAGTATGAATCACTTTTAAATTTTGACGCATACATTTTAATTTATTTTTTGTGTAGTGGAACAAAACTGAGCTTTCCCAACCGACTTATGGGGGAGGGAAAGTGACACATGAATATTTTCCATTGGATTACTCTGTAATGGCTGTAAGTGAAGTATAGTCAGGAATATATCTTCTGCCTTTATAATGAAATCTTGTAAACCTGAGTCACCAGTTCCCAGGGATAGTAGTAACTGCTGATGCTGGAGAATCTGAGACAACAAAGGTGTAGAGGTGGATGAACACCGCATTGCAAGCAGCATCAGAGGAGCAGGAAAGCCGATGTTTCGGGTCTAGACCCTTCTTCAGAAATAGGGGAGGGGAAGGGGACTCTGAAATAAATAGGTAGAAAGGGGGAGGCGGATAGAAGATGGATAAAGGAGAAGATAGGTGGAGAGGAGACAGACAGGTCAAGGAGGCGGGGGTTGGAGCCAGTAAAGGTGAGTGTAGGTGGGGCCTACACTGCAC